CCGTAGGCCACGTGGAAAGTACAGCAGTGTTTGTTCTACATCGGGTGACAATAAAGCGGTTCCTAAAACAGGCGACAGTGTTGCATCAAACTGTTGCATATGATGATAACTTTAATTCGAGTTAGCCACAGCGACAGGAGACTCAACGGATGGTAATACGCGATAAATGGTTTAAGACGGAAGAAGGTAGGTGAGGGGAACTCAGAAGGAGAAGAGGTGATCGCTGGGACAGGAAGTTTTTAAGACTGACGTTTCGGATTCTTGCTGGAACCCGTCATCAGAGACGATCGCAGATAAGGGTGATAGACGCAGAAGGGGCGCAGCATTTACAGTCCTGGTAAAGAGTTCGAGTGAGAATCCGAACTGTCAGGCCAATGAACTTCTTGTTCTAGCGATCGAATCTTCTCCCTCTGAACTGCTTCCTGGAACTGGTTTGTTGGCTTCTATCGGTGAGAGGAACTGTTTGCAACATTTTCTCTGTATGCTAAACCCTGAACGCGTCTAGATTGCCTGACGTGGCTGCAAAATTTGCTAAAGGACAGAATAAGCCAGTTCTCCAGGTTGGGATTTGGGCTCTAGAGGCTCTGAACAAGCTGAACTCCTGTACGCTTTGGTGCTAGGTAATAAAGTTTGCTTCATGTTTTTCTTTACGGAACAACGTCTGTAGCACACATGGTGAGAGAACTTATGTCCAGTTCAACCACTGCGCCCATAACCACGGCAGTCATAGCCAATTTCGGCGGACAAATTATCAACAAATAGCTAGATCTTATCTTCTTTTTTTTAAGGAACAGGAGGGTTGGCTGTATTTGACTAATCATTTCTTGCGTTGGTGGATAAGACGATGGTATTTGCTTCTGCGAAAGGCCAAGCTATTGACACCTCATGCCTACAAGGAGATTTCCTTCGCGGTGGTTGTAAGCGGTCTAGACGCATTTGATCTGCTGCTTCTGAGCATTTTGCATGTAGAAGTCTAAAAACAAATACACAAAAACTTCCAAGCAGTCAATTCTCCACTTTTAACTTACATAAATTATTTGGCTGTCCATTTTCCACATAAAGAAAACGTTTGTCACGGCTTCCACCAGTCGACGCAAACAGCAGCAGGAGTTGTTGGCTCGGGCAGTCTCCGCCGCCAAGGCACAGGAGGATGAAGCCCGACGCGTCTTCCACATGACCACCTGCCCCGTCCTTGAGTTGGCCTCCGCTGAGGCCGCTTTCTCCAAAGATCACCGTGAGGAGGCTGGCGCAGAGGACGGTAGGCTAGTAAAGAAATGCTGCTTTATGAATGGCCATTTTACAGTTTTAAAAAAGCTCACACTTTTCTTCATCTATACAATCTTAATATGACGTCATTTTATATGAAGTGTGTACCCGCATACTTTATACGAACTATATTTTAATATTTGAGAGCATCGAACAATAATAACAGAAATACATACTACTTACGTAGTAGTACACCTACTTCACCGTCTAATTACGCCCTTTGGAATCCCCAAGGAGTTACACAATAAGAAGGGCATAATTCTGGAAGCCACCCGGTGGAGAGTTTATTGCGTACAAAACCCGGAGTTGCTTTCTCGGGTGGCAGTTGCGCGTCGCATGTCCCGCCTCGGGGCGAGGCCCTGGCGGTGTCCTTGTCAGTCCGTAACTGTCTGAGATGTGACAGTGGCTTATAAGCGATTGTCAAGCGCGTTCGCTTGTGGCATGA